GGAGTTGGAGGTTGCTGTGAGCTGTAATGCCACGACACTCTGCCCAGGGGGACAGCTTGAGGCTCTGTCTCAAAAAAAAAACCCCCAAAAACCCTTCCCATTGAAAATTAAAAGTCATTTTCAACATTCTTAGCAACTCTGCAGCAGGATCAGGGTGTGGGAAACAAGTCAGGAGAGGACAGTTAATAGTAATATTAAAGAAAATGAGGCTAATGCTGTGTCCAAGATTTTACTTAACTCATTAATTCATGAGGGAACCAGGACAATGTTATAACTGGCTCAAAGGGAATCCCCAAAGTCACACATATATAGACAATAAGGAATGATGAAATGAATTTATAAATGGATACCAAACTGCTCTATCCACAGAGCAATAATTGCATTTCCTGGGACCCAGTTCACACCCACTTCTGTGGACAAGTATCACATGTTTTATTATCAGTTTTCTACACCTTACACAGTTGTACAGTACCTCAAAGACCACAAAGGGTGGAGGTAACCTGGAACAGGACAGACACAGGACACCCACCATTCTTTTTCCCCTACAATAACCATAGTGAATGTTGAGGGTTTTACTGAGTGCTGAGCCTTTATAAACTGAGACATAGGGCTGGCATGGTGGCTTACACCTGTAATCCTAGCACTGTAGGAGGCTGAGGTGAGTGAATCACCTGAGTTCAGGAGTTTGAGACCAGCTTGAGCAAGAGCGAGACCCTGTCTCTACTAAAAACAGAAAAAACTAGCCGGGCATTGTGGTGGGCACCTGTAGAACCAGCTACTTGGGAGGCTGGGGCAAGAGGATTGCTCAAGCCTAAGAGTTTGAGGTTGCCGTTAGCTATGATGCCAGAGCATTCTACCCAGGGCAAAAGAGTGAGACTCTGTCTCAAAAAACCAAAACATACACACAAACAAACTGAGACAGACACTTTATTCTCCCATTTTTCTACTGAAAACCTACTGAAGGGAGCTTGAAGGGCACAAGATTCAGCCCTCCTCAATCCTTGGAACCCTTGGGTGACCTGACTGTCCTTGGAAACAGGACCATCTCTGCTTTCCTCATCTGGAAAGCAGGCATGCAGCAAATGAGACCAGCTGTTTGTCAGAAATTGTCATCCTGTAACCCTTTTACCTGCTTGAGATACCATTCTGATGCAAGGTTTCTGGTTGCTGTAATTCCCACCATTCCCACCAGATGGCAGGCGATCCCCAACATGAGTGTGCCTGAGCCCCTTGGGGCCAAACCAGGGCAACGACAGGCTTTTTCTCTCTTTAAGAGAAGCTACTGGAAAGACAGATTCTTAAACTCAGACTGTGAAGCGTTAAGAGAACTGTACAGCAGATCCTGCAGTCTCAACTTACCCACCTCAAACTGAATTGCATCCTATTTTGTGACCTGTTAGGTCACTGGGAAAAGTAACCAGAGTCCTTATTCTTACTGGGGGCTAACAGGTGCACAGGTGGCCCCTCAGAAGCACCACACCCATTCTCAGTACCTGCCACAACTACTGAAGAAGTACAGCAGAGTGGGGAACACCATGGACTTGGTACCAAACAGATCTGGGCTCAAATCTTGACTCTATCAATTATTAACCATGTGTTTTGGGGAAAGAGCTCTGAGCCTTGTTTTCCTGTCCAATAGGACAATAAAACTTACATTATAAATTCATAGTGAGGAACGAAAGGAAGATGTGCCCGACCTTGGGGTCCTTCCTTCCAGGTTGCTGCTCAGGCCAGGGACTGAGCCCTCCATCACAGACCAGACCCCAATCCTATCGGCCCCAGGTGCCTACCTGGGCCTGAAGCTGCTCTTCTTCCTGGGTGGAAAATTCTGTGCGACAGTGAAGAGGGACATCCATCTCAGCCACTATCTCACCAATCCTCTGCTGCATGGCCACACACTCATCCTCAGACAAGAATCCTTCGAGCACCAGGAATCCATCCTGCTGGAACTGCAGGCAGGATGGAGACTCAGGCTTCCCCATCTTCCTTATCACCCACATTTGACCCCTTGCCCAAACCCAAGCAATGTGAAGGAGAGACCAAGTATCTTGTTGAATGCTCTGTCCCCTACCCTGGGCATGGTGTCTGGCACCCAGTGAGTAGCAATCCATATTGGCTGCTTGGGTGAAGGAAGAGGAGTAGGAGTGCTGTCCCTATCCTTTCCCTCCAGCGGGCTCAGGTCACAGGAAATATGACCTCATTCATCTATCCAACTAATATTGACCGAGCATCTATTGTGCAGGGGACATGTTTCTAGGAGCTGGAGGAATGACTCAGACCAAGCCAGCCATGACACAGGTGGTCCTGCAGCTCACAGTCTAGCAAAGGAGACCAGCATTACACGAATCATCACAGGGGTAAAGGTACCGACACCAACTGCAAGAGTGCAGGGTGGGAGGGGTGACTAAGAGTGCTGGAGGCAAAGCGGCCAATGCAAACCAGATGGGAAGGAAAGGAAGTGAAGTGGCATTTAAAGAGCAGACGACCAGCAGGATAAGGGAAGAGCATTCCAGACACAGGGAACAAGATATGTGAAGCCCTTGAACTTGGGAGGAACATGAGGAATTAGGAACAGATGGAGCACAGGGTGAGGGGAGGGTAGAAGAAGAGGTAGGAGGTGTGTGGGGCTGGGCCAAGTGGGGACTGGGCTTTACCCTAAGTGCAGAGGGGTGGGTCACAGCAAGTGGCTTATTCTGATTTGCCTCTAGTCCTCTTGTTCTGAGCCTTGTGAGAGAGATAAGGAAAGAATGAATGGCTTCATGCTGGTTTGCAGGACATTATGAAGTCTTAGTTTTAACAGGGACATTGGAAGCCACCTCTTGCTTCTACCCACACACTGTCTAGTTTCCAATTCCTGACACTGCTCCCTACAGTGGGATCTGACTTCCACATACTGAATGTTGAAACTTTCGTGACCACGCATGGGCTCTCCTGTCTCTGGAAGGCTATGCATGTTAGAAATGTACTCCTTGGCTCGGCGCCTATAGCTCAACCGGCTAAGGCGCCAGCCACGTACACCTAAGGTGGTGGGTTCGAATCCCTAGCCCGGACCC